GCAGCACAAAACCAGGATACACCACTGCGTGGCACAGGTAATATCTCAGAGAATACCAACTTGGAGGTCCTTTTCTGAAGTTTGCTACCCAATTCCCTGAAGTCATTCTTTAGGACTTTCCATCTTCCTCTTACTTTGGTACTAACATGGATCATGACAGCTGGTGAAACACTGTGCTTCTGTGCTGTGCTAGCCTCATTGCTTGTTTTAGAGAATTTTTGTGAGTCTTGGTGTGCCTGCCATCAGTGGCGTCTCTAGGATTCATTTTTAGGGGGGGCACATGGTGGGCCAGGGACAAAAGTAGGGGGGCACATTTAACCCTGCCCTCGCCGCAGTTTGACCCTGCCTCTGCCACATGTTAAGCCCCGCCCCAACACAATGTGTTGGTTGGTTTTTTTTAACAATGGAAAATCAAGCGTTTCAACATGGGGTCATAGTCTAAAGGCAGCAGGCGGGCAATCAGGCTTCTCCAATGCAATGTGGCGAGATTGCTCTTGTCACAATGTATTTAAATGTTTCTATCATATCCCCCGTCTCGTCTTTCCTCCAAGCTATACATGTTAAGATCCTTTAACCTTTCCTGGTAAGTTTTATCCCACAATCCATGAACCAGTTTAGTAGCCGTTCTCTGGACCCTCTCTAAGGTATCAATAATGTGTGTGTACAATACTCCAAGTGAGGTCTCACCAGTGTTATGTACAATGGCATGAGCACTTCCCTCTTTCTACTGCTAATACCTCTCCCTATACTCACTCTCACTTGTATAAACACAGGGCTCGCTACAAAGAAGTTCAGGGATACACACAAGCTCACTAAAGACAAGCTCACTGACACACACAGGCAGTACCATCTTAACAGCGTTATGGGTCCCCCGGGCAAAGCAGTGGACTGGGGCTCTTCCTACACAACTCACAGGAATAACATTTTTAATTATTGATAGACTGCTGAGTACATACACACAGTACACTGAATACAAACACAGTGAGGCTGCTGAATACACACACACACAGATTTCTGAATGCACACAGACTCCTGAATGTACACAGGCTGATTTATATAAGTAGACACAGGCTGATTTATACACGTACACACCGACTGCTGAGTCCATACACACACAGACTGCTGAGTCCATACACACACGCACAGACTGCTGAGTCCATACACACACAGACAGACACACACACACACAGACTGCTGAGTCCATACACAAACATAGACTGCTGAGTCCATACACCCACACGCAGACTGCTGAATCCATACACACACACAGACTGCTGAATCCATACACACACACACACAGACTGCTGAATCTATACACACACACAGACTGCTGAGTCCATACACACACGCAGACTGCTGAGTCCATACACACAGACACACACGCACAGACTGCTGAGTCCATACACACACACACAGACTGCTCAGTCCATACACACACACACACACAGAGACTGCTGAGTCCATACACACACACACACACAGACTGCTGAGTCCATACACACACAGACTGCTGAGTCCATACAGACCCACAAACTGCTGAGTCCATACACACACAGAGACTGCTGAGTCCATACACCCACACGCAGACTGCTGAATCCATACACACACACACAGACTGCTGAATCCACACACACAGACTGCTGAGTCCACACACACACTGCTGAGTCCATACACACACACACACAGACTGCTAAGTCCATACACACACACACACACACACAGACGGCTGAGTCCATACATACACACACAGACTGCTGAGTCCATACACACACACAGACTGCTGAGTCCATACACACACACAGACTGCTGAGTCCATACACATACACACACACTGCTGAGTCCATACACATACACACACACTGCTGAGTCCACACACACACACACACACACAAACACACAGACTGATGAGTCCATACACACACACACAAACACACACACACAGACCGCTGAGTCCATACACACACACACACAGACCGCTGAGTCCATACACACACACACACACACAAACTGCTGAGTGCAGACACACACACACACACACATAGACTGCTGAGTCCATACACACAAAGACTGCTGAGTACATACACACAGAGACTGCCGAGTCCATACACACACACACACACACAAACTGCTGAGTGCAGACACACACACACACATAGACTGCTGAGTCCATACACACAAAGACTGCTGAGTACATACACACAGACACACACACTGCTGAGTCCATACACACACACAGAAACGCATACTGCTGAGTCCATACACACACAGATTTCTGAATGCACACAGACTCCTGAATGTACACAGGCTGATTTATATAAGTAGACACAGACTGCTGAGTCCATACACACACACACACACACACATACACACACAGAGACTGCTGAGTCCATACCCACACACAGACTGCTGAGTCCATACAGACCCACAAACTGCTGAGTCCATACACACACATAGACTGCTGAGTCCATACACCCACACGCAGACTGCTGAATCTATACACACACACAGACTGCTGAGTCCATACACACACGCAGACTGCTGAGTAGTGATGTCGCGAACACGAAATTTTCGGTTCGCGAACGGCGAACGCGAACTTCCGCAAATGTTCGCAAACCGGCGAACCGCGCGAACCACCATAGACTTCAATGGGCAGGCGAATTTTAAAACACACAGGGATTCTTTCTGGCCACAATAGTGATGGAAAAGTTGTTTCAAGGGGACTAACACCTGGACTGTGGCATGCCGGAAGGGGATCCATGGCAAAACTCCCATGGAAAATTACACAGTTGATGCAGAGTCTGGTTTTAATCCATAAAGGGCAGAAATCACCTAACATTCCTAAATCACAATGAATATGGATTGACACCTGACATATGACATATTGACACCTTGACATATGGATTGGCACCTGTCCTCAGAGCCCCTGATGCACACGGACACAGAGCAGAATAGAGACTGGTCCCCCTACATAGGGTCACTTGGCAGATATGGATTGACACCTGTCCTCAGAGACCATGATACACACTGACACAGAGCAGAATAGAGACTGTTCCCCCTACATAGGGTCACTTAGCAGATATGGATTGACACCTGTCCTCAGAGACCATGATACACACTGACACAGAGCAGAATAGAGACTGTTCTCCTACATAGGGTCACTTGGCAGATATGGATTGACACCTGTCCTCAGACCCTGATACACACTGATACAGAGCAGAATAGAGACTGTTCCTCCTACATGGGGTCACTTGGCAGATATGGATTGACACCTGTCCTCAGAGACCATGATACACACTGACACAGAGCAGAATAGGGACTGTTCCCCCTACATCGGGTCACTTGGCAGATATGGATTGACACCTTGTTACAAACTGCTATTGCTAGTGTGCTGATTCCAAATATGTAATTGTTATGAAGATGGGATGTGTAGTTTTAAAGTTACAGTGTATGGCTAAAAACTGTATTTTTACTGCCTGTGTTTAATTATGTTAATCTCTTCCCAAGCGTCATTTCGTTCAAAGTGGAGAGAATGTTAAAAAAATATATTTTTGTTCGGAGTGTGAGAAATGCTTTTCAGCCGCTTCTAATCTTAAGCATCATTTGAGGAGCCATACAGGAGAGAAACCTTATTTGTGGTGTGTTTGGTATTGTTCTGATCAGTTTAATACCTTCCGCGTCTCCTATCAGTGGACGTGTATATGGCAGCCATTTTAGGAACCGTACACCTGGGACCCGAGCAAGGTCACCTCGTTCAACAGGCGACAACATTTGTCCCTGGAAAACTATCCTGGACATTCTGTACAATGTGTATGGATATGGCAG